ATATAATTTTTACAAAACATCTACTTAACATAACTGTTGTATATATACAACTGATCAACAATACAATAAATATTGGTACTACCTCTTTTCCTTGTTCTCGTATGGACGTCCAGGTAAATGCTTTCTAGTCATTCTTATTATACCTTATATCACGTACCTTCTCTCATGACTTATGTGTAACATTTTTTTTACACCCGCCTTTATATAATCCTGCCTGTTATGTTCGCCGGTTCCTACGTTCAAAGATGGGAAGAAAACACTACACGAGAGCATTAGACCAGCAGCGTTTTTACGCTAGCCGATCTTTCAGGCGATTCCACTTGCTACTAGTTCGGCTTATTTTGTCCGTTGTTGTGTCTCATTCAAACACAGGACCGCAGCCTTAACGGGTTCAGGTGACAGGCAGCTACGAATATCTCGACAGTACGAGCCAAGTCTTGTATAAAATCCACAATAACCATAAAGTTTATGGTGCTTCGACCACTCGACTGTAACAAAAACGCTACAAACGTCAGTGACGAGAAAGTTCCAGGAAACGAAAAGGGTAGAGTCAACTAAAAAGGTCTTATGCAGTAGTGTCAGGACCTACGTTACCCTTTGCTTCGTCTACCTATGCCGTGACGATGTTGTAGGCTTTCATATACAGCAACTCTTTTTTAGAAGTTTGCCAGAGCGGAACTGTTCTGTTATTTTCATGAGCTGCCTGCACAGGCAGATAGGCAGTCCACCCTTTGGAAGTGCCCTCCTGCGATATACAAGCACACCTGTTTTGATTAAGTATCATTCCCTTTAGTGGGACCTAAGGCTGTCACCTCGGATTGTATCGGGAACAAATTATCCGGCTCGACTTCCTTAATGGGTAGACACTGGATTAGTTAGTAGATGTCGGCAACGGCAGTAACAATACTGGCCCGGCTTACAACACACACAGATGGGACCGTTCCCGTTGGGCTTGGCAGGGAGCAGAGATGTGATCTTGAGGGGCCAAATGCACGCAGCGCGTAAGGTCACCTCAGGGATGCCACACGCATCCCTACACGTTCTGGCATACTAGAATCAGAAACGAAAATTAGACAGATCGTCATAATTCGTGGATCATCGTCAACGTTCAAATGGGTGGATGGCATACTTGTGGGTTGCATTGGCTGGTGCAATTCTTCTGTGAAATAAAATAGTGAACGTTGTCCGGACGGGCAGAGCTGTACTTAACAGAGAGTTAGAAAAAAAAGTGCAGTAATATTCTATAAGTGCACGGCTGATGCAACGGAATCGCTAATCGATCGGAAGCAAAAGTAAAAAAGAGCGTAAATACGAAACACTAATCATCGACTCCAGCGGTGCAGTTAGCTAAACATAAGGTGTTACATCGACAAATTCATCCTCCCTGATGAGCCAAGTATTTATTAAACATATGTTTAGAGACCATCGCGCATAAGCAAATATATTCCTAAGTGTAAAACATTTAAATCTTCCAGAAATTTATAATGTATATAT